CTTTATAAAATTTAGAATTTTTTATTGTACTTGTATATATTATATATATGTTACTACATAAAATGAAGCTTAGTAGAGTAAACATTGGTCAAAATAAACTTCTAAAAAGTTTTATTTTTACCAATATTAAAAATTAAGTGTTGGATAAGCTATGGAAAAATATATTAAATAGCAATTACATACAAAACTATGTGTTTATTTTCCCTTCTTCGCAATGAAATTACACTAAGGACTGACGTATATACATAAGCTATGTGATAAAGATTTTGATAATGAATATTAGTAAAATTATGTAATAATGAAAAAAATTCTAATTTGCACAAATTAGTAAATATACAGGATGATTCAGGAGTCCACTGACAAGTAATTCAATTCCACCTCAGCTTGTATTGTTTGTAAGTCAACTCCTCCTCAGCTTGTATTGTTTGTAATTCAACTCCACCTCAGCTTGTATTGTTTGTAAGTCAACTCCTCCTCAGCTTGTATTGTTTGTAATTCAACTCCACCTCAGCTTGTATTGTTTGTAAGTCAACTCCTCCTCAGCTTGTATTGTTTGTAAGTCAACTCCTCCTCAGCTTGTATTGTTTATAAGTCAACTCCTCCTCAGCTTGTATTGTTTGTAAGTCAACTCCACCTCAGCTTGTATTCTTTGTAAGTTAACTCCTCCTCCGCTTGTATTGTTTAGATATTTTGATATATAAACGTTTTTCTAATAAAAACGGGTTCAGATACTTGAAATTGCGTACTTGGCATTTCTGATAAATATTGAGGAAATCGTAGCGTTTTTCTTTACATTTTTTTCCGTATTTCCATTTTTCTCGGAAATAATGCCGTAAAAATCTAAAGTTTCAAGTAGAATCATAATTCAAGAGTGGTGAACCATGCTAAAATGGCTTTTTATAGTCATCTTATTTGAATATGCAAAAATACTTCTTGTACACAACAACGCCCTCTGTGGACAAGATGCAAATGTCTGATATTTTGTTTCTGTTAACCACACAGACCTGAAATTGGTATAACAAATTCATATTTTCTATGTATTTTAATGAGTTATTACATACTAAATCTCATACTGACTTTCAATCACTGATCTTTCCATTCCATCTATCGAGAAATTTCATTTTCTGAGTGTGCATGAGAAGCTTCTCATGACTTTCAAAAAGAACAATATTTTGAGTTTCATGGCCTCTTATGAAAGCAAAAAGTATATCAAGTACAATTTGTTAATACTCTGATTTTTGGTTTTAATTAATCGCAATTTTTTTCCGTATTGATAAATTGGTTATTTTTCAATCGATATTTTAATTCTTTCCACTGTTCAAATGCCTTAGGATTATTCGCTGACTCTCCGGTTACAGTGGGAAGTATAGCTGTGCTAAGAATTTTGTAATAAAAACCAAACACTGAATTGCATGTCACCGAATATTGAACCCTTATTCTTGGTACTTTGTCTCCATCCATTGCCGATTCGTACTTGTGAATTTTCTTCCCTTGTTGTCGTTGGGAAGGTTTAGTTGCCTGCAGCTCTACTACATAGAAATCCAGTTACACTAAGAACTGATGCACTTTTCAGCAGATTTTTAGCCATCTAGCGAAACTACTCAAATAAAATATTTTTTGTTTTCTGTCTGATTTTTCCTCTTTAGAATTATTTTTGTAAGACGATTATGTGGTTTCTTCAATTTATGAGACTGCGCAGTATAAGGTTGTAGTACTAGATTTTTGATAGTTTTAACAGCAGTGGTAGTTTCTATTCTTCTTCTAATGGTAGTATCTATCGTATTGGAAAAATATTCCGAACAATTTTACAATTTTCCGAATCTGCTTTTCTTTTTTGATATAGAGCAACATCAAGCTGGCATTTTCCATAATTTTCTTAAGTTCACTGTTTAACCGTTTTTGAGTTATTACTGTTTTAATTGTTACTTGTTTAACTATCGTGCATTTTTTGACATTTATATAAACTTAAGAATAATTTTTATGATGATATTTTTATTCCGTGCGTTTCCTGAAAATACAACAGCAAAATACTTCTAGTCTGCTAAGGTCAAATCTTGACTGTATATCACAGTGGCTTAGTTTTCAGGTCTGATTTAAGAAATCTGCAGGTGCGCATTTTTGGAAAAAAGCGATAAATTTCTAATCTACAGGGGGGGGGGGAACTGAAGATTGAATTATTCGTTTTTTGTTACTCATTACCCAATGAATTAAATTAAAACACCGTAGAATTTTTGTTTTAGTTTTTGCTCGTTAATAAACTTTGTTTTATTTTTTATCACTTCATGTTTGGATATTTACTCAAACACATACAGCTGCTATTATTTCTACTTTTTAATGCACTCGTGGCAAAAACACATTTTTGAACACCGAGTTCCAAGTACCCAGTTTCAACCAGAAGAAGAAATACTATCTGTTGTAATAAAAAGTAAAGAGAATCTAGCGAGAATTTTCCTAGAAGACCCCGCAGAATATTAAATAAACTTAATTAATGTATTGATTTCATCATTTTACTTTACACAATAAAGCTTACTTACTTAGACGTAATTAAGAACTGCGTCGAATTTGACTGGGACCAATCCTATACTGAACCAGGATTTGGGGATTTTAATAGATTTCAAGATTAGATACAATTGCAAATAAAATAATGTATTACAATACTGGAAGGGTTATCTGATATATCGATAAAACAGAATCGAATGAAAAACAAAAAAAACCTAAACAGTAGAGAATTTTCAAAGCGCCTACACACTGTTTGTGTTAAATTTTGACAAATATTACATATTAAATTTTAAGGTCACATGAGCACTACTTTAGAAGTAATTTTATAATGAAAAATACGTAATAATATAAACTACTGGGAAGTAAAACTGTACAGCTCCATATAAAAACTTATAGTTCTGTGTCAGAGGATACGAGAATAACAAAAATTGATACTCTCGAGGAAGGGGCTGTTGGCACCACTCGAAGTTTAATAATTATTTATAACCTTTTAACAACGTGGCAACCATCATAAAATCATGTTTAGTAAAAACTTATAGTGATGTCACAAATCATAACTTTATACCAGTTAATACTGTAATTCTAGAAAAGCGATCGTTGAAACGTTGTGTTATTTTCTAAAATTCTTTGCTTGATTGTGGTGTTTATACTTAATTCCACTAAAAAACAAAACAGTTAGTACGGTCTCAAAGCTGGGTTTTAAAGTTGTGTTATCGGTATGAATACCCGAATAATTCATGCCTTAAATGTAATCATGACAATATTAATTTAGTATATAATATTTTCAAAGTAATGTCACTATAGTTTCACTAATACGAATCTTAAACTACTCAGTAAGAGCATGTACCTTAGAGTTTTCTAGTGATGTATAGCCTAACTTCATTAAATGTTTCTGTCTTATATACGTAAACAGTAAACACTATGACCTGTACACAGCAATAATTCAATTGTACCTGGAAAATTGTATTTTGCAAACGTATAAAGAATACTTACAAAGAATGTCAAATGCAGCGATGAGAAATATGCATTACAGATTTCTAGTTTTATTGAATACATTCTTGATGTCTAAAATTATTTTCTTTGAAATATTATGATCCCACACAGTCTCGAAGAGTGATCAGCATTATATAAAAAGTCTAGCATAATTCCGGCAAATAAATAATAACTTGTATGCAATTGTAATAATAAAAAACATTTCAAAGTGAAACATTTTCATTAATTTTAAATTATTCTTTCACGCTTTTATTCATATAAGTAAAAACAGAAATGTCTTTAGCCACTTCGTTGTATTACAACAGTGCACATGGAACAACAAGAGAATACATATGTTTTTGTAGATCGTTTGAAATTGTTAAACGTTATGTATATATTACATTATTATAATACTTTTATAATATGTATCACAAGGGAAACTTGAAACATTATCTTATTCAACGAGAAAGTTTGTAGTTTGATGTACTTGATAAACGCAAAAAAACAACAACAAGTAAACAAATACGTACACAGGATTTCGTTTACATGACAATTGTGATTTTGAAAAGTTGACAAGCCGATATTTTTATATTCTACTTTAGAATATTCTAAGCAACAAGTTGAGTATTTTTCACAAACAGTTATATGTTGGCCTCTTAGTTTCTTTCCAACAAAAGACGACAAAGGAAAAGGGTCATTTATAGACTGCTAAGCTCAGACCATTTTGAACCATATGTGAAAAGCGTACTTACGTCGATGATAGATGGAAGTTATGAAAAAGTGTGCCCATCTAAAACATCTTGTCTATGGTATCTTTGCGAGACCCTTCCTATAGGACTAATATTTCATTTAGCTTAAGTAGTTATTAATTATTTCGATCCAGATTAATACACTAACACTGGGATCATTGTTATTAACATTATATGCCATCTTCAGAGAAGGCCTGATAAATAATGAATGTGGACCTTCTTACTATAGCAGGGGTGCTATAATATTCGTTCGTCCGGGTTCTAATCTGAATAGCACATCTTGTTTTTTAGAAGAATACCTCGGCCCGAATCGTGGCTCCTGGATATATATATACACATTTTTATTATGACAGCCTTGAAGACGGCAGCAGATTAGCAGCAGAAACGTATCATATAAACACATTGACAATTAGTATTTAGTAACAATAAATGGCAAATAGTTAGTGATTAGACTTTGGCTACCGTGTAGACTACTAAACATGCCAGTGATTGGACGAAGTATGTTGACAATCACAATAGTTCCCCACTAGGGCTGACGACAATAGATAAAAACGTTCTTTTATTGGATTATTTAGATTCGTTTATTCCGTATATCTGCTTGTTAAACATGTCACATTAAAATCAATCAACACGATTTTATTCAACGAAACACAATCTAAGGAACGACAGGATATCAAGCGATTCATCCTACGATCGCTTGTCGCGAATAGGTTGTCATGACAACGAAATAATAGTCAGGAGCATGCGAAGTAAATGATTAAAACCTTTCTGAGGCTCAGCTTCAAAACTAAAGACTGCGTGAAGCTCGAAAAAGCGAGTGGATGGAGCGTGACTCCTTGTAACAGTGGTAGAAGTTGTAGTCCCATAAAGTTTGTTCTTGTATCATCTGACCTTCTTCATGAGCTAACTTTGTCGTCTTGGGATTCGCCTCTGCCAGCTTATTAGGCGTCTTGTTGAATAAATTCTTGAAGAGAAAAGTCAACACTCATTTCGTCTTTGGAAACTTCCGTAAACATAGAAAGGCCACCTGAGAAAGGAAGGCCTATCCTCATATTTTACTCTTTTATCTAATTGGTTTAAATGTGTTAGATAATATTGGAATAAAGAACGATTCTCGTAAAAGTATTGTTATAGTATCAACTGCATTGTGTATTTTCTTTTTAAAAGAAAAATAACAATTAAAACATCCAAATAATAAAATACAATTGTTAAACAAAGTTTCGCCTAACTTTTGACACCTGTTCTAAAGGTATTCAAAGACGCAGGACCAATGTGTTATTTTGTACCAGATCATCGTGACAAAGGTAAGAAATTCACACCTTTAGCTAGCCACTTAAGAGAAAAATAATCTAATGTTATAATACGATTATACAACATTGCTTAGTGTTTTACATACCACCAACATTCGAGTTGTAACTCATATGATATTAGAACTATGATCATAATGTTAGATTATAAAGAAAGAACAAACGATTTTATATTTAATATTTATTGCGAATATAGGGGTATAACGATTTGTAACTCTTAAAAATTTAACTAAGTCAGTGACGATCCAATGGTCTGAAAGATACAAATATTTCTGTGCCACACCTTCACCTCTACCCAATAATCTACAGTCATTTATTTTCTTTTACTCCTCTGCTCTTCCCCTACTACCTAATCATCTAACAGTAAAATATGTTTTCAACAATATTATTCAGAATTTTATAATTATTGCAATTTAATAATGATGACAACCACTACTGCTCGTCTTGTCAAAAGCAAAGAGCGCGAAGGGTTGGACAGTTGGGGTAAAATTTTGGTTAGTTTGTAGCACCATTCTAAACTTTAACACAAGATTGCCAAATCTTCTCTTTAATTCATGACATGGGTAAATTAATGATAACTAATAACTCAATCGGGGTTTTACCTTCAAGTTCAATTTTTTATTAACTAAGTTTACAACTCTTATCTGCAAAATCGATTTATTTCTAGAAGTGTACAGTATTGTTGCAAAAAGTTATTGTGATTGTACATAAGAAGTTGTATTATTATTGTGGTGACAGATAACGTATCGTTATTATTGTTTTTCTTATTATTACCATCATAACTGTAAATTCCACCAATAAGAAACGTGAACTTCATCCAATCATCTATCATTCGATTTCCTATTTGTATGTGAGTTTAGTTTCCGGGCATTTCACCCCTTATCAGCAACTTTGGGCACACGCAAAAAGAAAAACCAGACTAGATCTCTTGCAGTTGTGATCTGTGTTTAGTTTCTTAGTTATTTTCTATTCACCACAGTGAACCTATATTGAAATAGGTATTTGAATAATATGTAACATTAATAACACTCGTCTATGCACCTGGATTACACAGGGAACAATCGGTTTAAAATCATATGATTTGTTTTTTATCTCGTCACCAAAATTGTACATTTCCCAAGAAAGAAACGTGAAATATAGTCTATCTTCAATTCGATACTTTCTCTGAGATACACCGGTTTTAGGGAATTCCACTCATCATTAGTAACATGTATAATTTTTGGTAAGTAAGTCAGTTCCATGGACGTTTGTGTCCTGTGAAAATTGTTACGTATTTTTATGTCAATATAAAAAATGCTATCTAGACTTACTTTACTTAATGATTAGTTTTTCTGAAGGTGTTTGGACCGCTGAATGTTTTATAGTTAAGAGGAAAGTCAGGATTGGTGGCCTAGTGGTTAGGAAGCTCGACTTGCAAACTGTGGGTCGAAAGTTCGAATCCCCTTCGCCGAACATGTTTGCCTCTTAGGGTTGTTGACAGGGCCAGCCACCCGAGTGTAAAAATTCTTGGCTAAATACCCGAACGGCCGACCTCAAAACTAGGTGGGATAAATGCAACTGAAGAAGAAGAAAGTCAGTATTACTACTAATTCAATCATGGGAATAGTATAAACCAGAACTCTGGTTGGATATAGTCTTCAACTCTTTAAACCATAACACATACTCCAACCAAATATGCAGTAAGTCTTTGTAAGACTATTTCTTTACAATTACACCTTATAGCAGTTTCGAATTTGAAATTTACTGCCCCGGTCATTTTTGGTATAAGGATTATAATGCATTTTCTTCTTTATTTATAAATATTCATAGTGTTACTGTTTATCATCCTAGATAGACGATATTTGTATTTTATGCTTATTGTAAAGCTGCCGTTGTCCCTAATTCTGAACTACTGACCACAGCCAGTCAGCAGAATTCTACCACTCACTATCCATGCTAAGAGATTGACTGCTACTCTTGTTTTGCAACCACCGCTTAAAGCGCGGATAATATTTTGTGGTATCGCATGGATACGAACCCAGCTCGCCAAGTTCAAAAATCAGAGCTCTATACCACATGGACAACCCGCGTCTTTCCTAGATAAACGAACACGAGCGTTTTTGTGGTTGAAGTAAATGGGTTTTGTGTTTGTTTTCGGATAATCGCACAAAGCTACTTAACGGCTATTTGCGCTACTCGTCCATGGTTTTCAAATGTTAGACTAGAGAGAAGACAGCTAATCAACAGGACTCATCGCCAACTCTTGGGCTACTCTTGTTTGGCCGAATAGTGGAATTTCAAATTATCATCATCGTTATGAAATACCTATGTTGCTAAAGTGTGGAGCGAGGTTTTGTTTTGACGGTAACGGAATACGAACAAGGGACACACATCTCGACTGTCCGGCTCATTAACTACTAGGGCACGCTCGGCGTAAAGTAAATGGAAGAAAATTAAGGTGACATAAGTCTGATAATCTCTGAATAATGTTGTATTTGTTTTATCGGAGTAATAAGGACGTTTTCATAGCCTCACGTAAGTCTTTATTTGTTTTTCTGAATAAACCCATAATGGGCTACCTGTTGTGTCTACTGCGAGAAATCGAATCCCGGATTTTAGCGCTGTAAAATGCATAAACCTACCGTTGTTTCATCTGGGGATTGCATAATCAGTCACAAACAATGAAACTTCTCAAATGCATAATGCATAACCAAACTAATCAAACAAAATACTCAAAATAATCATATATGAATGCATTTCAAAGCAAATATCTTTATTACTTGTTTATGCAAAGTTAATGTAAACAAGAAGTAGTCTACTGGCAGCTATTTATTATTCACGCGAAGCAGGAAGATGTGTATGATTTGTATATAGGGTCAGTTTGAAGATAAAGATGCCTGTGGCTTGTATAAAGGTTCAGTTTGAACATAAAGATGTCTGTGACTTGTATATAGGGTCAGTTTGAAGATAAATGTCTCTACTACTAACTGTTGTACAACGAATTATAAACGTCAGTTGGTGAACTACTGGACACGTATAAAATATCTACTTAAGTGTGAAAATATCTACCATATGTTGTATTTAAATTTCTGAAATAACTCAAACCACACCTCAGGATAAACAAATTACTCATCTGAAGTTCATTATGACACAGAATGTTTTACAAACTACCTTCAATATGTTTTTGGTTTTTGATATTTATCTGTAAATATATCATTTACTTTCTAAAATACGTAATTTCAGTGAAGAAAGAGAAAGGATTACTAAATGACGTATGACCTAAACTATTCTTTGATTCGCTACTCCCTTTGCTCTAGAAAGTAGTTTTGGAAAATCACAGCTCTTCAGTATTGCTTGAGAGAACAAAGCAAAGAAATAAAACATGCTTCATATAGGAGTGGGGTGTATAAACTTTGTAGGATTAATGTTAAATACTTTATTCACAACTAATAACCTAAAATACTTAAGGTATTTGCATAACACGTGACTGTACCGGCACGATTAATTGGTCAGAAAAGTATCTGATGATTTTCTTGTAATTTTTTGCCGTTACCAAAGCGTGTAATTTCATTGTATAAAAAAATCCTACAAATTGTTTGTTATTGTTTACCTTATATTGATTATAAACAGGAACTATGTGATGAAAATACACACTCATAAAAATAGTTGAAAAAGGTAGAAATACACAAGTTATATTGAGAAAAAGAGAGTAAAGAAATAATTTTGCTAACACAATTCACGTGTCACAATTACTTACTTAACCATAATTATATAAGAATGATATGTTTTTTATCAATCAGGAAGACAATATTTTTTGGCAGTTTAGTCAAAACGTAAGGAAAGACATGAGTTATATTATAGCTTGCCATGATATCGTGATTAATTTGCTGTAATGATTGTAACCAAACGAAGTGTAGATCGTAAGGTTTATGTTCACAGCAACCATGAACCAAACTATTCAACTGATTTATAGGTTTTCATACAACGGAGAAGCTTTTATGAGCTCATTGGTTAGTTTCAGGATAGAAAAGAGTACTATGATACACAAAACATTAAACCAGTATTGTTTGCATCACGCAATATATACCCTCCCATAAAGTAACTAATTCATATTTAGTAGTAATGGCATACTTTTCTTTTTTGATAAACACAATGAAATAAGAAACAAAATACTTATGTAAGTATTTTATGCATACACGTCCCTTGAAAGCGTATTTCATAATATCGTTTGTCACGCTTTGGCCTCGTCTTTCATTTTGGACATAAAATATACAAACAATGCAAAATTCGTGAGCTAGTGTAAACGTATTTGCATCTGGTTTTCAGTGTCTCTTCACCAAACATTTTACTGAAAAGCTCACATATGTCTTCTTTCACTACCATGCAAAACACCACAGTTTTTTGAATTTCAAGAACAGATACCATCCTGGGTGGGCGTACTTCTATAGAAAGGAATGTTTACCGAAGTAAATGTCCCTCAGTTGCTTCCGAGTATACTTAGGGATTATTTGACAGAAACAAACTGAAACTCTGACTAGCAACTGTTGATGAAAGCCTCTTTATTGGAGGAACTGAAGTGTTGATCTAGTTTAAGCCACGATTATAAGAGCTTTAGCTGTACAAACTGGAGATCTTCTCCAGCTTTGGGCAACATTCTAAAAAACTAACATAGTTATATAGTTCACGACAAACATTATTTTTATGGGTAGTTGAGCAATTGTTTTTTTTTATTGAGACTGTAAGGTCTACACTTGAACGGTGAAGAACGTACTGTATTTATCTACTACAGTCACACTATACTACCTGTTTATATACAGATAATATATAAACGACATAGGTAAGCTCTTTCAAAGCACTTCAATACTTCCAGTAAAATATAATTCAGGTTATTTACATCTGACAACTGTATGTAAGGAATACAATCTATTTGGAGTATTCTGTGTTATAACACAATACCTTACATTGATAGCTATTTTTTCAACGTTAACAGGTCCCTGGAGGTGTTAGTAAACCCGAAC